CCGCCCCCCGCCGCTGGCGGCGGCCCGTGCCTGCGCGCCCTTTTCCGCTCCCGCCAGCACTACACGCCCGCCTCGCCGCCCTGCTTGCTCTCGCCGCACACCGACAACCTCCACCAAATCGACGCTGTGGACGGGCCTGCCGCCTTTCTCGACATCCTGGCGCCGCCCTACGACCCCCAGCACGGCCGGGACTGCCACTACTACCGGCTGCTGGAGGGGCCGCCGGCGGGCGCGGAGCCGCCCGCGCTGCCGCGGGAGGTGTGGCTGATGGAGACCGCGCAGGCCGCCGACTTCTGGTGCGGGGGCGAGCCCTACCCTGGGCCTCGCGTCTGCCTCTGAGTCGCCGCCGGCGGCCCGTGCCGGGCGGCGGCCGCTAGGGACGATGTGCGCTCGCCCCGCCGAGAGGGGAACCTGCCGCCCCCCGGCCGGCCGCTCCCCGAGCCCGGCGGACAGCAGCACCGCGGGGACGCGGTGTCCCGTGCTGGCTGGAGCTTCGCGGGAGCGCCGTGGGTCAGAGCCTTCCTCTGATCGCGGGCTTCGTGAGTCGGGGAAATAAAGCGCCAGAACGTGTTTATGCCCTTGGGGCCGATGTGCGGGAGCAGCATGATTAAGCTGCTCAGCTGAAGGGTCGGGGAAATATTCCAGCATCCTGTGTAAATAGTTAGAGCCACGCATCAGGGAGAGGGGTTCAGGCTTCAAAGGGAGAGTAAATGCAATAAGAATTTTCACAGGGCACCCCGGCTTTTCCCAGTGGGGCTCCCTCTGCTTGAGCCAGCTGGCACCATGGGACCAGGGGACTGTATCCACTGAGTCTGGGAAGGGGGCTTGGTCTGGCTACAGCCTTTGGGGACTGTGTCCAGAGCGATTCTCAAGAAGAGCTGTACCCTACTAGTAAATAACAAATCCAGAACAACTTCTGAGCCAGGACATGCTCCTCCAGTAAATGCCAGTGATCAATCCCCAGAGCTGAAGTTAAGGAAATTACTGCTCCAAATGGACACTGTCAGGTTCAGAGTTATTTTTCAACAGTTCTTTTAAGTGTCATATACAAGATCTCACTATTGCAACTGAGAATTACTGAGTGCATCTATGCATACTTCCTTCAGCAAGAAGGAGACAGCTGCTGATTACCCTCGCTTGGAACCTCTAATGCAGCAGTGGCAGAAACTGGGCATCATAAGAGAAAAAACAACTATCCACTGTTGTGGAAGCTATTCTAGAAACATGGCGTATTTGCAAACCCTCAGTATACAGCAGCGCATACCTAGGTACTGATAAGATTTGACCTGATGTCTTCTCTTTAAAGCGTGGTCTGTGTTTTTATATGTGAACGCTTTGGGCTTTTGAAGCCTTGCAGTTTCCCTCTTTATACTATTTATAAAGACTACTTTTTCATAAGGCTTTTAAATAAACATAGAGTAGAAGAGACACCATGAATTTTGCCTTGCTATGATGGAAGCGGTCTGGAGATGCAGTTTGTCCACAGCAGGGGATGCAATCTTTCTAACACAGAAGAGAGTTTTTCTACAGGTGAAGTGCCCCATCTGTGCTGCAGGGACTGGTCTCGTGCCTGTTCATCCTATTGCACACTTCATACCACAAACCCAGGCCAGGGCAGCCTTGGCCATCTTAGTCCTGATTGAGAATTTGAGTAAGAAAACGCGACCTCCTAAGTGATGTACCAGCTGGCTCCAGAAATCATTTCACAACTAGCTTTACTTTTCTGTGTATTTATAAAAGCAGACTTGTTTTTCCTGTACAGTGGCTTGTATGTGTGAATTTTTAAATGATTCTGATATGGCATTGCTGCTTTTTTTTTTTTCCTGGCCTGTGAAAGAATGAACATAATATACAGTGAGCATTATGCATGCATGGATTAATTCTTTTGCAAGGAAAAATTGGTAGAAATTATTTCAGGCGATTTCCATTTATTCTTTGAGCACTTAAAGGTGTCTGATATTTCTGCAGCTGGCTTACCTGTTTTTCTTGGAATTCCCCTGCAGCTTAGCATTAGTTAATGTTTAACAATTCTTGATCGAATGTAGTCATTAATTATAAGGCAATGCCTCCCTGTGTTACAGCCTGTTTCTACCTCTCTCCAAGCCTAACATAAGACAGTTATCCTTTTTCAGAAGTCCACAAAGAAGATAGCATGGTGCATGCAAACAGCTGTACTGGAAAAACAAACTGCAACAGCGAGCATTTTTTATATCCTATCTGCTCTATCCTCCCCTTAGGTCTTTGTGCTGAGTTTTTAATTTTTTTCCTCCATGTGTAAAACCTAGTCAAGACGTTTAGTGGGACAGTATTTAATGCATCTTTCTGAAGAGGACAGCATGGTCACACTGCAGAGCGCTGTTAACCATGGCAAAACCTTTTTTTCTTTTTTTTTTCTTTTTTTTTTTAATTAAGGTGTTAGCATCAAAGTATTTAAAGCTGGAAAAATAGCAAAGAAAACCTGAGATGCATTTTTTAAAAAAGCCTCTTAGTGTAACTTTTTGCTTACTTACTAATTGAAACCTACTTCCTATGTTCTGGACATCTGTTAAGCGGAAGGTTTAAGTCTGTAATGCCATTCCTTCTCTCTGCAGTCTAGTTATTGTGTTTTCACAACAGCAAAATAATGTTATTGCTGAATTGTAGAATAAATACAGGATATCTCACCAGTGACCGGTCATTACTTTCCTTCACAAGTAAGACAGCCTTGAGCCAAACACGGTACCGAGCTCCGGTTTCTTTTGCCTGACAGTCCGAACAGTGGGACCGGCTTTTCCTTGGGAGGCGATGCTTAGCACTGGATTCTCAGCCCAGATCCTGCAGGCAAATCCAGGCACGTACACTATTGCTGTTTTTGAAGCTGGCCCTCAATGTAAGGCACACACAGGAGTGTAGGACCATTGATACTGTGCCATGTGAGGTGCTCTTGTGGCCATACACTAATCACCAGCAGTTTCCTTAGTTCACCTCCTTTACGATTTCAGTGTTGTTCATATCATTTTTGCTTTTGATTTGGGTTTTAATTTTGTAGCATGGCTGGAGACAGTAGTTTGGACAGTGCAGGGGGAACCTTGGATTGTGTGTCTGGTTGGCTGAGATACCTATTTCACTCAAGATGCTCTGGCTGTGACCGAGCTGTGGTTATCCAAGGCTGTGGCGGTACCTGCAGAAGCCCAGCAGTTGAGGAGGCTGCAGCTTCTCTATGACATCCCTCCAGGAGCAGGCTGTGGTCTCTTGGGGGCCAGGACCACGTGGGAATAGGTGGCAAAACTGCAAACCAGGTGTGAAGGCTTACTTGTGCTGCTAAGGTGGATGGCGGGGCAGTGAGTGCGGCTTCCCCTGCACAGGCTGGTCCATGCCCAACTTTAAAAGCTGTCTTGATTCAGAACCAGACACGTCACTTCAGCTCCCACGGAAGAGCAGCTGCCCCAAAAGCCGGCATGAGTTCCAGAAAATGGGAAGCAGGGATTTCTATCAGACAGAAAAGGCAGGTGCTGCTGGGGCTTTGCACTATGGGACCTAACACCTGGGCAAGCAGAGGCTGGGAACTACCGAGAAAGGACTTAACCCCTTCGCCCTGCTGTTCTGGGTTGTGGCATTAGTGATGTCCATCCTGCACAGCTCACTTCTGCAGTGCGGGCCGCACCAGGAATCTGCGTGGCAGAGGGGCAAGCCCGCGGGGCGCTTACGGCTCTGCACCGATGGCAGGATCCGAGGGTGGGCCGAGGCCGGGATAGCATTTAAAAAAACATTAACCAAAATAAGTTTACAAGGAAAAAAAAAAAAAGGCACGATATTGCGGCCATGTGGGTTCAGCAAAAACAGTCCGGCTGTGCCGCGGGGGTGAGCGCCTCCGCCCCGGGCCGCTGCGGAGCCCCCGAGCGCGGGCGCGGCGCCGCCCGCGCAGCCCCGCGCCGCCGGGAGCCGCTTCCCCCGAGCGGCGGCCGTCGGGGCGGCGGTACTCAGTGTTCCGGAGCCCACTCGCGGAGGTTGCCTGGGGCGGATCGTAACCGCGGAACAAAACAGAATGAGTCAAAAAAAACCCACCCCGCTCCCTGGTTAATATTATCCCGTCTCTCGTCTCCGAGGGAAATTCCCGCGCCCAAAAGCGAGTGTTTGTACGCTGGGGCCGAGGCCGCAAGTTTTCCACGCCGAGGCTTTGCGGGGCGGTGCGGTGCGCCCATCGGACCCGGACCGGGCTGCCCCGCAGCCCTCCGCCGCCGGGACCCGGCGCGGGTCGGGGACGAGCGGGGGACAACCCCTCCCTGGGTCAGGCCAGGGAACCTACGGAAATAAAGATGTCAATTTAGCATAATTAAGAGATTTATTTGTCGTCTTTTATAAACTTTGTAAGCACCTACCCTATTGTCGAAAAGTTTATTTACAGAGTGGCCAGAAAGATAAAGATACCCCCCCCTCTCCTTCCAGCCCCCGTTAGTGGTTGTGCATTATTCGTGTTACCTGCGGCGCACTGGGTGCCGGCCGACCACGGGCGCCGGTCCCAGCCCGAGTATTTACATCCTGTCCCAAGTCCTACTACAAACGGAACACTTTCAAGTCACCAAAAAGGAAAACAAAACCAAAACCCCAAACCAGTGCGTACAAAAATATAGTCTCTAAAAAAAAAAAAAAAAAGAAATCCCAATATTAATAGGCAGAAATGTACAGCCATACTAAAACCAGGGAGGGAAAAACTTTCCGGTCTCGGTGTCGCCGCTGTCGTCGGAGCGGATCGGTAAGGCACCCCCCACATGCAGACAGGGGACCGGGCTCTACACCACACAAGGCACCAAGGACACCTCACCACGACGGCACTGCATGCATCCATCCTCCCGCCGCAGCCCCTATGTACACCCGCCGCTCCGGCCCGCTCCGGCCCGCCCCGGCCCGGGGGAGCCCCGCGGCGCCGCCAGGTGCTCGTCGCGCCCCGCCGGGCCCCGCTCCGCTCCGCGCCCGCCGCGCTCGGCGGCGGCTCCGCGCTGGGTCCTGCGCGTCCCGCGCCGTCAGGGCGTCCGCGTCCGCGCCGCGCAGGGGGCCAGGGCGGCCGTGCCGCTCCCCCCGCCGGGTTGCGGGCACCCGCCGGCGGCGGCGGCGGCTCCTTTTCGTTCCTTCTGGCGCAGGTGAATCTTCGTGTGCCGCTTCCTTTCGTCGGAGCGGGCGAACTTCCTGCCGCAGAAGTCGCAGGCGAAGGGTTTCTCGCCGGTGTGCGTGCGAATGTGGGTGGTGAGGTGGTCGCTGCGGCTGAAGTTCCGCATGCAGATACGGCACTGGAAGGGCTTGTGGCCCGTGTGGATGCGGATGTGCCGGGTGAGCTCGTCGGAGCGGGAGAAGCGGCGGTCGCAGCCCTCGGCGGGGCACGGGTAGGGCCGTTCGTGGACCGGAGTCTTGCTGGGCCGGTTGGGGTACTTGCGGGGCCGCAGGATGGGCCGCAGCGGCAGGTGGTGCGGGCTGTAGGCGCCGGCGGGCAGCCGGGCGCCCGCACCCTCGCCCCCGCCGCTGCCGGGAGCGCTGCCGGGGGCGGCGCCCGCCGGGGGCGCCCCCATCGTGAAGTTGCGGATGGTGGAAAGCGGCGTGAGGGGCGGCGGGACGCGGAGCGAGTCGAGGGGGCAGGGGAAGGGCTTGCGGTCGGGGCCGGCGTGGAGCTCCCGCTGGCACTGGGGCGGCGGGAAGAAGCCTCCGTACTCGGGGATCATGGTGAAGAGCCCGCCGTCGGCCGCCGCCGCCTTCGGTGAGGGGTAGGAGGGCGGCGGGGGAAAAGGCAGTGCCCCGCCGCCGGCGGCGGGCAGGAAAGCCGAGGAGGGGTCTTGCGGGTACAGGTCACCGCAGCCCGAGTAGGGCGGCGGCGGAGGCGAGTAGAGATGCTCCAGGTCGGCTGGCTGGCCCTGAGCCATGGTACAGCCGAGGGCCCCGGCCAGCGGGTTGGGGGAGGTGGCGGAGGCGGCGGTGGCCGAGGAGGCGGCGGAGGAGGCGGAGGAGGCGGCGGAGGAGGCGGCGGAGGAGGGCGTGCTGACCCCCTGCAGGATCCCCGCGCTCACGATGTTGATGATGCCCTCGGGGTAGCAACCGGCGCCAGGGTACTGCGGGTCGATGGAGAATTTGCCCATGTAGGTGAAGGTCTGATTGCGGGAAGCCGGAGCATTGGGGGCGAAGCCGCCACCGTAGGGCAGGTCCAGGGCCCGCTTGTCGCCCATGTCCACGTTGATCATGCCGTCTGGGGGGGCAAGGAGCAGGTCAGCCCTCCGCGCCGCCACCCGCCGGACGACCGGCACCGGTCCCAGCCACCGCCCGCCCCGGCCCAGCGCGGGGCTGCGGCGCGCACATGTTGCGCTCCGGATGCTGGGGGGCTCCGAGCCGACTGCAACTTTCCCCCCCGAGCTGGGTGCGGAGGTAGGGCTGCCGCGAAGGGGCGGCGGGCACCCGGCCGGGCGGCGGGAGAGCCCCGGAGAGGGTCCCGGCGCCCCGTCCCAGTCCGACCCCCGCCCGCCGCCCCGAGTCTCCGCCGCCCCGCCGCTGGCCCGGCCCGCACCTGCGAGAGCTCCGCTTACCTCCTGCCACACCGCTCATCTGGTCGAACGGCCCTGCCAGGTCGGCATTGGGGAAGATCGCGACCGAAGTTGGCAGCGCGGCGGAGATGTCATCCGCCGGGTAAATGCCCTCGGGGAGCTGGTGCACGAACCCACCGAGGGTCACCGGGATCTTGTCTACCGCCTTGGCGGTCATCATGGGGGCAGCGGGGCGGCCGGGGGAGCGGCGCTCCCGGCCGGCGGTGGGCACTCGGGGCGGGGAGGGGAGGGAGAGGAGGGGGCGCTTCCCCCTGCCTCCCACTACCAGCGCGGGGGGACGGCGGGGAGCCGGCGCGGCATGTGCGGGCGGGCGGCCGCCCCGTCGCGGCGGTGCGGTGCCCGCGGTGCCCCGGGAGCGCCGCGCTCCCGCCGCAGCTCGCGCTGGAGGACAAGTCTGGCGGTAACTATTTATGGGGGCCCCCTGAATGCCCGGGACGTCACTGCCCATATAAGGACTGAGGAACGGGGCCCGGCGGTCACGTGGGCGCCCGCGTGCGGGACCCGCCGGCCCGCGCCCGCCCCGACCCCCCCTCCCTGCGCACCCTCCGCGCCCCGCGGGGGCGGCCCCGACCCGCCCCGGCCCCGCTCGGCCCCCGCCGCCGCCCGCCGCGCCGCCCAGGGGGGTATTCCGGTGGCGGGGCCCTTGTCCTAAAAAGGCGAGGATCCGGCCCCGCCCCGCCTGCCCTTTTAGGGCTTGTTCCGGAAATTTTTAAAAGGTTCGGAAAAGCAGAGGAGGTCCCGGGGCCGCCCCGCCAGACCCCGCTCACTTTCTCAGCAGCTTGTAACCGCAAACCGGCGGCGGGTCAGGAAACAGCCGCATTCACGGAATAAAGCTTCTCCTTTGTCAAAGAAAAAGTAATTTTAAAAAATAATTTTTTTTTCTTTCTGAATTACGGGTGGAAAGAGCCGCCGAACAGAGCGACTCGGCGGCGCTGCTTGTTTTGGAAAGTGTCTGATCTATATATACCGTCGCGAAAACGGAACCGCCTGCTCCGCCGTCGCTGGGTTGTTATTGTATCGGCGGGCACGAGCGAGGACGGGACGGGGAGGGGTGGCGGGGAGGGGGACAGGAGTGCCCCCCCACCTCGTTCCGTTCTGACCCTACCGCTCCCGCTTTGCTCAGTTCAACCTCGTGCTCCCACAGTTTCCATCCTCAGTAACATTTCCACCGCCGCTTTTGCTTTATTTCTCCGTGATCTCCTCCATAACGAGGGTATCAAACCAAAGAGTGCTTAAATTCTGGCTTTTTCTTTTTTTCCTCCAAAGTACTAAAAATAACCTCCCTTGTGCCTCCCTTCCCAGGAGAAGCCAATCTTTCATATGCTGTTCCCAAGCTTAGAGCTTGCAGCCCCTACATCTTCTTGCTGATGAGGGTGTCAGATGTAATTATTTTTGAAAGCTGTATCCCGTGTCACTAATCTCATTACTTGGGGATATTTCATCTCGTGGCTGTTTATTACTGCATTTAGGAAAGCAACTCTCACATATGGTCTGTAGCGTGCGAGGCCCCTTTTCAATAGTCTGCAGCGAAAAAAACAACCCATTGACAACCCAAGCAGCAGCAAGACATGGCAACATATGAGAGATATTATGACAGTGCATTCCTGTTCCAAAGCAGCAAGCCAGAGAATACATAGGAAGGCTAAAAACTCTTCCCTTTCATTTTTAACTGCAGACACCAATGTTTACAGGTCTAACACATTACAGCCTGTGCCATAGAAGAGGGGTGTGCTCAGGGATCCCTATGGTGTATAGACTTACCTTCTGCCTTGGCTCCCAAGCACTGTCACGGTGTCTCTCAGGAACCTCTTCATCCATGCCACACCTCACATCCCAGCTGAGAAAGGCTCTTTCAGTTCCTCCAGATCACGGCCTTTGGTGATGCTCCAGGTTCGTTACTTGTTCAGGCACCACAGAGTCCAGATTAGACAGCAGCATCCCTGGAAAAATAAAGGTTTTAGGGGCATTTGCTAAGGAATAGTAGGCATAAAGCTAGATATTTGCCTTGATCAGGGAAGTATGCACAGTAATTAGTAAATATGTAACAGTGGTTTTTAACATAAATTTTTGTTACCAGTCCTCTCTAGCACTTAATGTACAGCCAATACAGTTTGACATATGAGATTTAGTTGAAAGCAAGCTTTCAGTGGGATTCTAGATATTTTCATTTAAAAAACCATCTCAATTTAAAAGTAAAATTTAAAAGTGTGACAGAGAGACAGGTTCTGGGAAATCTGACTGAGAAGTAGGAGCAATTGTATTGTACCTTTCTGTTACAGCTGAGCTATAATTGGTCTAATCGTTACTATGAAAGAACAAAATATTGGAATCTGTTGTGCAGTGGGGTGAGTTACTTTACATGAATTTGAGAAACAGTAACTCCAAGTGCAGTATCCTCCTTTACTGCAAAACATTGCAGATATCTCAGATTTAGGGCTTATGGATAGTCTACATCATCTTGTAATAATTCAAAATACCATATGCCAACGGATAACACTAAATCATACTGCACAAAGAAGAAAGGAGAACCAAGGTTTCACACCCCACCTTAATCCCTCCATGAATCAACTCTAGCTTTGAACTAACTTGGCTAATTTAATGTTCTTCCTCTATGGAAAAGCATTGAATGAAAGACCGACACAAAATTTAACTTCACCTGAGGAATACTACTGTAGTTGACTTGGCTGGTTAATTTTAAAAGGTTTCTTAAGAATGGAATAAATTTCCAGGGACAATCAAATCACTTGACATCTTTCAGTGGGGGCTTTGTCTCAATGGCAGCAGGATCTGGCGTGGGGCAAGATGGAAGCATACTTAATGCTCAGTTTCAGGAAGTTGTTGACAGACGAAACTCAAATGTTTCTGGGCCCTTTTCAGATATCCTTGCTGTATTGCTTTGCATGTGCTTTGTACCTTTGATCTCCATTTGGCTGATTACAGCAGACTCTGAGGGTTGGACTGTCCAGCTCACACTGATGTCAGTGGCCCTTACATGCAGAAATATCCTACTGATTTCTGTGGTTCCTGTAAACAATGTGGCTTCATATGACAGACAGATTATTGGTGAAAATTTCCAAATTCCCAATCACACCAAGAGCCTTGAATATGCATGACCTCTTAGTGGATATAGCAGTGCTTGAGGATGGTTCAGAGCTGAAAGGCAGAACTTCTCTCCTACTCCCAACTTCTTTGAAACCAGGCCCCTTTGGATTTACTGTATTTGCTCTTTTAACAAGCTGTAGCTGACATTGCACTGGGGGTATATTTTCCTGCAGTCATTCTCTACCATCAGTACCTGAGATAGCAATTGTAGAAATAAAATCATCTTTGCCTCTGTACCTGAGCTGAGAGTGGCTGAGGAAGGAAAGGCAGTTTATCATCTGTGGAGCTGGCAACACATTTAACCAGCTTAGCATCACACATTTGAGTCATCTCTCCAGGGGGTTACTATGCTTTTGCAGCAAAACTCACCCGACCTCCTGTGCTAAAAGGCCTGCATGGGAAACACACCCTGCAGCTTCCACTCTGCATCCTGCTGCTTTCAGGAGGGTTAAGGTGGCCCCAGCTCAGCAGGTGCCCTAGGGAGTAGGAACTCATTTGGGAACAGGGAGTTGTTTACAGGTTGGAGATGAATGACCCTAACAACAGCAAAGAATGTCTGTCCTAAATCTGGAATAGATACATTTTGGGGTTGGTGGGTTTTTAATGTTTCATGTAAAAGAGAAAATCTTCTCTCCAAAGCTGAATTTCAGAGTTTCCTAAATTTACCCCCTTTCACCGGAAAAAGATTTGTCATGTCCTCACAGGAAGAAATGCTTGTTTACTGTTTCACCTTCTGTTTTGGCCAGGGCTGTCTGCTGGATTCCCAGGCTGCTGGCAAAAGCCACTTCCCTTCAGTCTGCCCTGCCTGCCCCTCACAGGCCTGATATAGGCTCTTAGTCTGCACTGGCCAGTCACCAAAACCTGGAATCCAGCCAGGGAAACCTGCTGTAAACATGAGCTTACAGAAAACATCTGGCTGGCTGCTGGCATGCTAGGGGAAGGGGATGGTTAAGGAGCAGAGAAGGCATCCCAGTCTACCCTTAATTACAGTACCTTGAAACCACTCTGTGGTTTTCAGCCAAGGCTGCTTGTTGTCTTAGGATGAGTGCCTGTAAATTTGAAATAAGTAAATAACTTTCTTGTGAGTCCTTGGCTTAGGATAGCAGTAGCAGCATTCTGAAGGGTTATTTAAATGTCAATAACTTTTTCTAATTCGGGCTATAGGAATTAAATAAACCCATGTGGAATCAATAAACTACTACTTTAAGTTCGTGTGGCTGTGAACAAGTATGTGTGACAGAGAAAACTTCCAGTCAAATAAAAGCAACAACAAACTTGTTTGCTCAAAACTTATTCCTGTTATTAAATACATAGAACATTTCCTGGACGTTCCTGTACACGCTTTCCAGCATATGTATAAAATCCGTGCTCCTACTTCCACTGACCCCATGAGTTTCCCACGGAACGCCCGAGGGAACGGCTGCTCCCGCCGCTGTCGGGAGGGGAGCGGGGAGCGTGTGCGGCTCCACTGCCCTCTCCTGGGGAAAGGCGCTCCCGGGAGCCAGCGAGGACACAGCAGCCGAGCGAAGAGCGATGTTCTGGGCTGAGTTCTGCTGCTCTTTCACCGTATAACAGCACCCCTAAAGGTTTTCATCACACTCGTGCTACCTATAGAGAGACTCTAGCCCTATTGAGTCAGAGATCCCGGCCACAGCTGTGAGCTCCACAACCCCAACAGTGTCGATGTGTGAAGTGTTTGGAGCAAACCACAAGAGCGGCATCCCTGCTGAAAGGCTAAAATATCAGCTCTGCATGCTGCTTGCTGGGGGGACAAAGAAGGAAAAAAAAAAAGAAAAAAAAGAAAAAAAAAAGTTGCTTTCTCAACTGTGAAAATTGCTGGGATACACATGTCATTTATGAGACAAGACTCAAAATAATGACAACTTTGTTTCTAAATAGTGATAGTCTGCCTGCAAAGCTGTACTTTCCAGTCCTTTCTTCTGAAACTAGTTCCACTTACCCTTGTATTTCCTGCTCCAGTGTGCCTCCTGTGTTTTGTGTAAATACTGCCTTGTCCCATGGCTGGGCCTTCAGTCCAGAGAGAGACTGATCGAGCACGTGCCTTCATGATGCAAGTGATCTTCCTTGAAGGACTGAAATAAAACAAGTGCAGCAAGAGTCACATTTTCAGTTCTCTTGGTCCCATTACCTAGTGTTTGAGTGCTTAGAAAGCCTGTCAGAAGGCTTTCTGGACATATTCAGTTTATAGGAAACAGTGTCTTCAGCACTGGCCATACTTTTTATCTTCAAGTGATGAGTAAAGTCAGGTATAACATCTCTCTCCAGCAAACCAGGAGGGAAAAAAAACCTCTAACATCATTTTCCAAGCAGTCTTCTCTTACAAAG